ATGGCACCCCTGTGGCAAGACCACAGGGGGTGGCGGATCTACTGGCTTTCGGCCTGTCCCGCTACCTTGCCTGGGTTGTGGGTAACAGATCTCGAGGATGTTCGTCGGGATGTCGCGGGGGGCTTCTTGGGGGCCGTTTGGAGGCCCCTTGAGAGCCGTTTTGAGGTTCGTGGGGCGTCTTCAGGACTTTTCGGGGATCTCTTCGGGCCTCGTGGGGGCTTCTAGGCGCCTCCTTGGGGCCTCCTGGGGGCCTCTGGGGTTGAGGTGGAAGACTCGGTGACGATAAATCCGTGGTCGATCGGGAGCCTTGAGACGGGGCTCAGTGCAAACGCGGGTCAGCCAGAGCGCCAGGCCTTGCAGGATCCTGCGGAGCCAGGGGTGCATTGACCCATGTTTGCGTGCAGTTGATCCGGGTCAGTGCGACCTCGATCCTGGGCGGTTCAACTCGCAGTGATGGCATATCCGTGGTCCAAAACCGGCCCAGTCCGGCATCATCCCGCTAATTTCTGCGCGATCCAGTTTAATCTTCGGCTCAATCCAGGCCAATCCCGCTTGGTATTCCCCTCAATCGGGCTTGACCACCCTGAATCGCTCTTACGCAGACCTCGCAGCTGTTGCTTCACGAGCGGCGAACACATCCATACCACCACTCCCTCGCGGTCTGGATTTCAGGGCGCGGTCCCGCGGATGAGCGGTCGCAAGGATACGTTCCCGCGTGGGGCATCCGCGAAAACACGCCCCGTATCCGCGTGGTCACGGCCCAGGGTCTTGGCCCGCGAGGCCGCGGATACGGATGTGCTTTCACCCACGATGGTTCCTGGAGTTCGCCGAGCGCGTGCCACTACTCGCAAAATGCCAACTCGCAAACGTTCGAACCAAAAACAATACGTCTACTCTTGTGTACTAGATCGTATATCCCCTGCGCGCGGATCCAGGACATCTGCGACTACAGCTACTTTGTGAGTAGGGGAGCGCGCGTCCGTAAGTGATGACTCGAAGCAGCGCGGTTCTATATTATCTTTTGGCGCTCCGCGCGAACTTCTTGGATCTGCGCTGGGACCCCCCCGGCGGCGCCTCCGGCGCCGCCCCTGGCGCCCTCCGCGCGCCAGGGAGGGGGGTCCAGCGCCGATCCGAGCAATCCGCGCGGACCTCCGAGTTATTGTTATGCCTAGTTCATTATTCGTGCCCCTCGTATTTGATGACTCGGAGCAGCGCGGCTCTGCCCTTCCAGGTCTGCTCGCGCCTGGCGCTGCGCGGCGCGGAGGGGCGCGGCCGCGGGTGGTTCGCGGCGGCGGACGTGCCTCCGGGGCACGTCGTCCTGGTGGAGCGGCCCGTCGTGGGCCTGCTGGACGGCGAGTGGAGGGACGAGGCTCGGAGGAGGGCGAAGTGCAGTCAATCCAGGCCTTCTGGATGAGGTCGGAGTCGACGGGGTCGGAGGATCGCACTGCATCTCCGATGCGTCGGCGATGTGGCTCGATGTGGAGCCCGACTTGCTCCGCGTCGACGTCGCCGATGCACCGCCGGCGTCGACGTTGCACCACCGGAAGCCCTCTTCGCTCCACGCCTCGTACGACCCGCGCGCGTCGATGGGACCCTCTCGGCGCGACCAGCGCGCGTCGCGGGAACTCCGCGCGGCGCTCTGCCCAGCGCCTCGCTCGCCCGTCGTCGCTCTGCCCAGCGGCCGGGCTCTGGCACGCCATCAGCCAGCCAGCTAGCTTTCTTTGCTCCGCGCAGCGGGCGACCCGCGCGCGTCGCTGGGAACCCTTCGCGGTGACCGGCGCGCGTCGCGGCGATCCCGCGCCGCGCTGCGTTTGCAGCAGTGGACCATGGAGCTCAGGGGCAAAGAACGAGAAAAATGAGGGATGGAAGCGGGCGCGACCCTCGTGAGGGGCGCGCCGACGCGCTCCTCGTGAGGGGCGCGGCGATATGGGCGTCGCGGCGCGCGGGCGCTGCCATCGGGGTTCCCGGGGGAGCTCCCTGTGGCAGCCACGCTCAATGCCGCGACTGCTCAGAGCCAGGCGTGCCCAAACCGCTAACATTCATATGTGCCCGTCACTAGGTGTAGCCATGCTCGCACCCATGCAAATAGGTTCATTCGCACGCATTATCATGCACAGTCTGATTCATTCGCGCTCAGACTCATCCGCGCTCGGTCTCTCGTACTCAGACGTATCGTCTTCGCTCGTCTTGTGTGACCCGCCACATTTCGGCACGCCCCTCACGCGGTTCGTGGCCCCATAGAAGCGCCACCGCAGACGATATTTGCACTTGCGGTTTTCACAAATGCATATGGTCAGGTCCGTCGCCAGGCTAATTCTTTTCTACTTGCGCATTTCGGCGCTGCGAACAAGTATGGTTTCAAGTGTCCCCCAGGTCGATGGTTTAAACCCCTTCTAAAAAACATGGTTGAAACGCCGCCGTGCTCCCGACACTCGGGGATCACATTTTGGCGAACGATACCATCGCGATTTACTTGGGAATCGCGCTATCGCTGGGGACTTATCTCGCGATCCATGCAACACGGACGCGTCAGCGACCCGCCCGCTCGCACCCCGCCGCCAAGGGCCCGCCAGCTCGACCCGCCCGTTAGAGAGACCCCCCCCGCTTGCTTGACCCGCCCGCACGGTATTGCCGACCGCTGTGCTGCTCCGGCCCCTTCTCCTGCCAAGTCTTTGTCGTGATTGGCCTGTTTTCCACCACCACCACCATAAGTTGGAGGGGGAGGGGGTCCTCCTCCTTCTCTTCTTCGTCCTCCTTCTCCTCGTCCTCCTCCTCCTCCCCCCCTCCAACTTATGGTGGTGGTGGTGGAAAACACGCCCATCATGTCGCACTCCATCTTTCTTCCCCCCCCCCGTGCCCCTTCCCTCCCCCCCCCCTTCATTATTTTGGGGGCTGCGCCAATGACGCGCGGCAGGGAAGGCAACCTATACACGACCAAACAGGCTGCAATCCAAGACGAAGAGGGCGGTTGTGAAGGGTTTGTGTTGCACGTGTTGGATGACACGCGGGTGCGTATTAGTTGGTAGTCTTCAGATCATTGGTGATGGTTGTTGCTTGCGTGTTGGTGGGTTGTTGGAGTCGTCGTTTCCGCCCGCGACATACCCGCGACCCGCCCCCGCGCCCACCCCCGCGACCCACTCCCGCGACCCATCCGCCGGCCCCCCACTCCTATCCGCATTCGCGGGGTGCTATACGTAGTTTCCTGCCCCTCCACGAGGCGTGGGCTTCGCTCAACAGCGCCGACAGTGCGGCGGTGGGCATCCGGGTGGCCCAGGGTTTTTCCCCGAGCCTCGCCAGCCTGGCCGCGCACCTTCACCCTCGGGAGGAGGGCGACGCTGGGGCGGCAGCGCTTGGCGCGGACGGTAGCGAGGATCAGCGATGAACAAGCAGCGTCAACCTAGGCTTTCGGATGTTCGCGCGGATTTGTTTGATCGGTGCTGTGGCCCCCCAGGCGGCGCCCCTGGCGCCGCGTCCGGCGCCCGAGAAGAAAGACATCCGCACAAACGTTAGAAAACCCATGTTTACGCGGCTAATTCCTCGTCTCGAGGACGAGAGCGACGTGGAGGCCACCGAGGCTCTGTCGGCAGCTGTGCAGGCGGCCTGGGGAGCTGTGGACGGTGTGAGCGATGCCGCGAAGGCTTCAGGGCACCCGCCGACCTCAGCCCCGATCTCGGCCCGCCGATTCTGGACTTGAAATTGAAGACAGATCGTGAAGTTGAGTCGGAATAGAAGAAACGATTCAAAGCTGGCGACGGACGGAGCAAATAATTGCTTGACCGATAGTCTGCTTCAGACAATGGTGGTAGCAAAGATAATCAATTTAGACACAAGACATACAGATACTAGGCGGGCCCAGGATCGACCTGGTCAGCATCGCTGGTGTGGCCTTTGGCGTGCCCCGAGCAGGCGCGCATGCGTGCCGTGGTCCGGCTGAACTCCCTCGGTTTCTAGACTCGAAGAAAAAAAAACGCCATAGGCATTCATTT